CAGTGGCCAAAAGCCCAGGTACCATCAGGGGGTCCACAAGCGGGGACAGAAGCCAGAACGCCAGAAGCCCCTTTTAACCGGAGATGCCAGGGGATTGAACTTGGGACCTTCTGCATGTCAAGCTGGAACTCTACCACTGAGCCAGGGTCTTTCTCATCACCTAGTGCCTGGTCCTTTTAAACTGAAGATGCTGGGGGCTGAACTTGAACCTTGGCATGCAGAAGGTCCCTGGTTCAGTCCCTGACATCTCCAATTAAAAGGGCCAGGCAGTGAGTGATGTGAAAGACTGCCACCTGAGATCTGGAGAGTGGCTGCCGGTCTAAGTAGAAAATACTGACCCTGATGGACTAAGGGAAGGGCTGTGGCTCAGTGGTAGAGCCTCTGCTTAGCATCCAGAAAGTCCCAGGTTCAATCCCCGGCATCTCCAGTTAAGAGGACCGGGCAGGAGTTGACGTGAAAGACCTCTGCCCAGGACCCTGGAGGTGGCTTCTCATGTTTATATCAGCTACTGGAGAACACGGGTGGGAAGACGCGGTTGCAGTCATCCCCCTCATGGGCTTCCTAGAAGCAGCGGGTCAGCCACTGTCCGAGCAGAAGGCTGGACGAGATGGGTCTTTGACCTGATCCCGCGGGGCTCTTCTTGCGCCCTGAGCTCTCGTCGGTCAACAGGGCTCGCTCAAGATAGCTCTTTGTGGTCCTCCTCAGACAAAACGCAACCTCTCCCTTTTCTTGCAGCCGGGAGGATCCTTCACCTCGTAGCGGTCGCGGACGAGACCAACGTGTTCTCCATCATGATCCAGCCACTGATCCCTTCGCCCAGCGGGGACGTGAAAAGTGGCCTCTGCGAGATCGGGCTGGAGAACTTCCTCCGTTACCTCCTGAGCCTCCACCAGCCCATTCTCGTGGGTTACGACCTGTGGTCCATGGACATCCCAGTCCTGGTGAACGCTTTGAAGGCCACCAAGAAGGAAGAGGTCTTCGAAGCGGCCGTCTTCGGCTTCTTGGACGCCCAGCCCCTCATTAAAGAGAGAATCCCAGACCTTCCCAGCTATACCTTGAAGAGCCTAGACCGCGTGTACCTTTGGGGCCAACTGGACGACTGCCAAGTGATCGACTGTGCCAAGACCGTGAAAGACCTCTGCACCGTTTTGGATGTCAACCCAGGAATGGACAGGAGGCCGGTGGTCACCTACGCCAGCTTGCAGAGTTACGGTTCCCTCCAGCCTCTCCTGACGAGGAGGCTCCTCAGCCGTTGCACCGTCCAGAGCTTAGCGCTGCGCGGCGTCTGCCTCTCCACGCTGCTCTCTGTGTACAGAAAGGACCCAGTGCGGGGGTTGGAGAAATTTTCCAGGTACTTGAATTCCAGGCAGATCCGTGGCGGGGGGAAAGTCCGACGGCTGAGAAAGGCCCGAATCTATTTTGACGCTCCCCCCTCCACGTCTCAGGCCTCGGCGTCCTCGGCAGCAAAGTCTGAGATGTGTTTTTGCCATTAACCCAGCAACCCGCCCGCCGTATGTACATTCACTTGACCTTTTTTTGAGTCGGATGATCCTCTGATGTTTCCGTTTTGCCTTTTGCGCTTCTGGTCCCGCTCATCGCGCGTGCAGGTGTCTGCGCATTCCCCGGCGGTACCCGAGGCTACGCAGTATCTGGGTCCACCTTGGGTCCCATCAAACAGCCGTGCGCTGGGGATTTTTAGGAGAGATGGAGTCGTGTGGGGCCCGGTTCCGGCCGTGACCTGAAATGGCCCCGGAAAAGAACCGCTGTTTTCCATGCCAGGGAACTTTATGTGTACCCCACACGAGTCTGGCAAACAGCTACTTCGCGAGACCATTTCAGGTCAGGACAATGTCACAGCAGGAGAGGCTTAAATTTTTGGGGGGGTGGGGCATTGGGAAACCCAATGGGGCAGGGGAGTATAGGGGATGCAGGAGAGAGAGAGAAATAAGAATAGTGCGGTGCGCCGCAGCTAAACTCAGATTTTTTTTTTAAGTATAATTTTGGAGAGCATGTTTTGTGGGGCGTGGCAGCCAGTCAAGGGGGCGTGGCCCTGAGATGCCCCACTGTGGCTGTGGGCCTGTGCTTAAACCCCCTCTCCACAGGTACAAAGCCCCCATCCAAATCATCTCCCTCACCCCATGCCTGAGAATCTAAGTTTCAAACAGGAGCTCCCAGCATACATCAACTTGACAGGACCGTGTCCTAGTGCTGCATCATGATTCCGAATGGGCACTGGTTGCTCACGGCGCACCCTCCTCCATGGCTGATGTGGTCTTTTCAGAAGACGGACGTTCCTCGGCTTGTATAACTCTGTGCGTATTCATTAAACTTCTCCGCTACCTAACGCATGGTTGCCCCCTGTATTTATTTAGGTTCTACGATGCATGGCTCAATTCAGGAAGGGAAGTGTGGTTTTCTAAAGCTGCTCAGGCGTGTACAACACATGTATGATTAAGCAAACAGAAGGAAGAAAAGTCGGTTTTAAACCCCGCCCTTCAGTACCCGAAGG